ATGAAACTTAAATAAAACAAAAGCTCAAAAATTCTTTATTAAAATAGCAAGCTGATTCAACAGCGATATCTTCACGTGTGAAAGATATGGCATCTTTCACTGGTGAAAGATATCAAGTTTTCGACAGTAGAGAAAACCTGGTATTTTATCAATATCTATATAATAAAAGCAATTATAGTACAGATACGCGTATTATGTTTTGTGACATTTTCAACATTGAATAATTTACATAAAGGTATTGATGGCACATCTGCCATGTTAGGTTAATTTACGTCATTAGTCTCTTTTGTTATACTAGCTTAAGTCATTAGTCTCTTTTGTTATATCATCCAACATGGCCAGCACGTTTTTTCGGTTATTTCACTCCCTTGGCAATGATTGAAAACCAGCAATAACTTATGAAATTCAAAAGGTCATAACTCGATCAAAGACTTCAAACTTTTTCCAGTTGTGAGGCAAAACACAAAGAACAAGTAGATGATTTAATTCAAAATGTGATTTGTTTAATTTATTTAATTGTAATATATATATATTTTTTACTTCGCATACCAGCTCTTATAAGCACTCTCATATCAACAGCTTGGGCTATCTTATCTCCCTCGCACCCGTTTTTAGTGTCGGTCGTCACGCAACACTCCCTCCACACAAACGCTTGCATTCGAACTACATTCCTTTCTCATTGTTTGGCCAATCACAAGACGGGTTACATATTTAGAGAACCGTTCGCGGACTTTTGATCTGACCAATCGCCGTGCAGCTTTTATTTCGCATCCTCAACTCGTTCATAGAAGAAGTGTACATGCATGTTTGGCCTCGTGTATTCATAGTTCGGTATTCCTGATCTCAATGCGCACCAGAAGTCGGCTATCAAAACTTTAGTCCAAGAGAAAAAAGATATTTTTGTCAATCTTCCAACAGGGTTTGGCAAATCTCTAATTTACCAAGCTCTGCCTCTCGTATTTGACTACAAATATACACTAGAGTCTGGTCACATCGTGGTTGTTGTGTCTCCTTTAATTGATACCTTTAGATCCGACGACGAGTACGAGAACGAGTCCGAGTTAAAACTTTTAAAGATTGGCGCTATTTCTTTGTAGTCTTGATCGTGTAAAAAATAGATTGAAACTTTAGATTGTAAAAAATCGGAAATCGACTACGATTCAGGGTTACTCGTACTCGTACTTGTCGTCGTATCTAAAGGTCGATAATACGTCTAATGGATGACCAAGTCTCAAAGTTACGTAGTTTCGGGGTTAGTGCTGTAAATATAAGCTAACTAGAAGAGGAAGAACGCTGTGAAGTCCAAAACGGCGAATATTTCGCACCGATTTCTTTCGAGGATGTTCTTCGGCAGCTCGATTGAAACTCACCATGTTTATACTTTCGGACACTGTGATTGGCTCAATAGGAAACAATACGCTCGACCTCATTGGTACGATCCAAACAATGAGAAAGGAATGTAGTTCGAATGCAAGCAGCCGTTTGTGGGGAGGGAGCGTTGCGTGACGACCGACACTAAAAACGGATGCGAGGGAGACTAGGGCTACCTGTGACCAAACTAAATCGGGTCACCCTTGTTTACAAGGCATATCGTGTGAAACAGTCTGCCGATTACTGATCACAAACAACTTTTGGGGTTTTTTTCTTTTCGTTTTCACGCAGGACACATTATCCAATGCCTCGTAAAAAGCTTTATATGTGTTTAGTGTTGATACTGGTTAACCTTCTTATACGAACGGGTAAGTACAAGATATGACCAGGGTTATTAAATAAGTAAAGCATACATGCATTAGCTTAGGTTCGTTGCAATTACAAACGTATGACCTTCATTGGTCGCTATTTATATCAAACTGTTTTAATCCTACAATTTCTTAATTTGAAGACGCTATTTTCATTTCAATGATAAGCTTTTCATTCCCGTCGCCAATTGTGATATTAAAGGTCCACTAATAAACAGAATTCAAGCATCTAATTCCTTGCACTCACTCTCAGTCATGCCAAGTGCTCTCAATAGCCCATAATACTTTCACTTAGCACAGGGATCCCAACCCAGCATTCTGTCGTGTCTAGCTTTGTAGAGGGATTAAGCTAACTAGCTCGCAAAGGCATGCTTCCTGGTCTTTCGTGCAGAGGCGAAGACATATATTAAGCAAGAAAATATGAAGTAAGTACTTAATATTCTCTTGATATTAAG